CAATACTAATTATATTAAGTAAATTCACTTAAATCCAATGAAAAGATTACCAGACTGAAAAAAGTCAAAGTATATGCTGTTTATAAAACATATATATAAATCTTAAGGTCTCAGATTGAAAGCAGATGTGATAAGAAAAAAAAAAAGCTAGTGGAGCTGTACTAATATCTGGCAAAATGGACTTTTAAGCAAGAATGAAGAAGAAAAACAGTGTCTGACATCAGGAAGATGTACACATTTTTAAACAGACTTGAAACTAATGACATGCCTCAAGATATATAAAGCAAAAACTGACAGAATTTCAAGAAGAAACAGACAAATCTACAATCATTGTGGGATTTTTAAAACACATCTCTCTTATCATTAGAGCAAGTGGGCAAATAAATCAGTGTAAATAGAGAGTTAAACAGCCTGATTCATGAATTCAATTCAAAGAATATATATGTCTGTATGTATATACACATACACACAAATATACTTCATTCAACAAGTGTAGAATACACATTCTTTTCGAGCCTACATGAAATATTTATAAAAACTAAGCAAAATATATGCCACAAAGAATACAAAGAATTGAAATCATGTGTAGTATATTTTCTGACCTTCTTGGATTTAAGCTAGAAATAAGAAAAAGAGGACTATTGGAAAATATGGATCTGCCTTTTAGAAAACCTCATGGGGTCAAAAATCACAATGAAAATTAGAAATAGTATTTTACCAAATGATCATAAAATGACTTGTATTAAAATTTGTAAGATGCAGCTAAAGTTGTGCTTAGAGGGAAGTTTATAGCCTTAAACACAAATATTGGAAAAGAAGAATGGCTGAGAGTTAACGATATAAGAGTCCATTTGCAAAAGGCAGACAAAGCAGAACAAACTGGAAGAAAGTACAAGGAAGGAAATAACATTGATAAACGTAGCAGACATTGGGAAAGGCTTGCGGATGGGTTTGAACTTCGATACTCACACGAGGAGGACAAGGAAGAAGAGCAACAGTGCGACTGCGATGGCTCCATACACGATGCCCTGGATCAGGCCTTTCATGAACACTCTGGAAACGGAATTCTTATCTGGAATCAGAGAGAAGGGAGAGTGGTTTTTCACCGGAGGCTTGGAAGTCTGAGCTACAACTCTACCCTTTCCCTTGGCCCTGTGCCCATCCTCATCCCCCTCCTGTGCACCGTCTTCCTGACTCAGTCAGTCACTAGGCCCCTGTATGCTCGCCTGGCACCAGGAAGATCCTGGAAGTGTGGATTCCATGTCGGTTCTTCCCCTCACAGCGAAGTCTCGTGACTATTTCTGGCTCCCCGAGGAGGCTGATGGTGCTGTTGGCCCACGGGGCACGTGTGGTGGAGGTCACCCGGCGGATGTTGTCCATGCTGTTCACATCCACAAGGGCACCTCCCACCCACCACCGCACGAAGGGTGTGGGGGTCCCCTGGAAGGAACAGCTGCACTGCAGCATCTTCTCCAAGGAGCAGGAGGAGTCGAACAGCCTGGCAGGTGCTGTGGGGAGGGAGGGTCAGGAGTCAGCAAGGAATCCCGACTCTTCCTCCCCACTTCCTCCAGGACCCAGGCTTCTCCTCGTTTGCTATTCACAGGGAGCTTCAGAAAGACTTTCTGGAAGTCCGGAGGGGACTCTGAGCAATTCTCCTCCTCTGCCTCAGACTCTGGGTGAGCTCTCACCCCTGGCCTCTCAGCCCCAGAGGTCAGGGGAGGACGTGATGCTCCCCAGCCTTCTTCCCACAGCAACCCAGGGCTTTCTCTTGGGCCCACCATGTCTCCCACACACAGGCTCCTGCCTGTGCCCACCAGCACTCACAGTTTGCTTGGAGGTTGGCCATGCTACTTCTGGTCAAGTCAGCTAGGGAGAAGTTCAAGTAACATCTGAGGGTGGTGCCTTGGTCTTCAGGCTTTGGGGTGAGGTGCAGCACCAAGGAAGGAGAGTTGCTGGAGATGCCTGAGGTGGAGGACATGGCGGGCCCTTTCCAGGAGAGGAAGAGGGCTTTGGTTTCTTCACAGGTATCTTTGATGGTACAGTTCAAGGTCACAGGCTTCCCAGCTGCAAGAATCTCTGGGATGTGGAGCTCTGGGTTTTGAGTCAGGTCTACAGAAGAGAGGAGGAGATGGGGACAAGGAACCCTCATGGACACTTCACTGCTGCACAGCGTTTCCAGGTTGCGAAGTGCTTCCCCACCCGTTAGCTTCCTTGGAAAACCCCCACCTTCCCAACAATCTATGGAACCTGGGGTTGTTATTGTTGGGTGTTTTCTTTCTTTCTTTTTTTTTTTTTACAAAGATTTATATTTATTGAACACTGGGGATACAGTGGGAAATCAGAAACCCTCTTTTTGATAGTAAGTTACATTCTGATGAATCTTGGTCCAAGGTTCTTGCCCCTACTCTACAGTGTTGCCTGGCTGCAACTGTTATTTAGGCCTGTCACTGTATTTCACAAATAGATTTCCTTTCTCTGTGTGAAAGGGGCACACCCCATGGACCAGGTGAGCAAACCGAAGAGGCTTACTTAAGGTGGTAGAGCATGAACCTGAACTCTGGTTTTCCAAGACTGAGGGCGAGTGGATTTTCTGAGGATCTACATTGCTGGTGATCCCTTACCTCCCAGACTAGACTAGACTAAAGTTCCTACTCTGTCTCCCTCCCCCCAGCCCAACTCTCCGCTTAGGCTCTGCCCCTTCCCAGCCCCATCTGTGATCATCTCCCCTCAATCCCTTACTGGTTGGGTGCTACTGAGCGAGTCACTTCTCCTCTCTTCACCATTTCTATTTGGAAAAATAAATTACCAACTGTACCTATCTTGTTGCATTATTGTAAAAACTAAATACCCACGGTTTGTAAAGCCCAGTGTCTGGTGAAGTAAAAACCACCACAATTACCATAACCCCTTTTGGATTTCCTTCTTTCTCAACCACTTATTGCATGAGCTGGAATGTCACCTGACATGGAGAGTTTGATACTCTCCCTCAGGAAAGCACTCTTTTCTTCTCCTGGATCTGCATAGAGTAAGTACGTCACGCTGTCCCTTTTGAGTATGCCACGGATCAGCAGAGTACAGTCTTGGCCTTTAGGTTTCCCAAGAATGTGGAATCTGTCCTTGGCGTTGTCATCTACAGTAGCATTGGGTTCATCTGCAGCTGCAGGGGAGCTGATGTTTTTGTTCAGCCAGTGGCCCATGGTCATTGAATTGCTCGGGGATTCTTTGGGAAATTCAAATACACAAGGGATTATGGTGCACGGCCCCTCTTCCACTGGTATCTTCTTGACTTCCACCAAAACATGAGAAAGTAACCCTGTAAGGAGAGAGTCAAGTTTTGAAACAGACTCACCTAGCATCCTCCTGTACCCTACCTGTGCATTAAAGGATTAACCTTACCCAAGAAAGGCTTGGCACTTGCCCAGCCGGGAGGTGATCTCTAAGCCTTGGAACATCCTGCCTGCTAAGACTGTCTTTGTGTACCTGGGCCTTGGGCTACACCAAATAGTCTATGCTAACACTGTGATTTAGGTGAGGACCCTGGGCCCTGAGGTACCAGCTTGACCTGTGGATCGGCTGGAGACCAAGATCAGCCACCTTCATGACCAGCCTCCAGTAAAAACCTGGACATCAAATCTCGGGTGAGCTTCCCTACTTGGCATGTCTGTGCATACGGACACACGTTGTTGCTGAAAGAAGTAAGCTCTGTCCATGCAGCTCCACTGGGAGAGGGCAGCTGAACTTCCACCTGGTCTCTCCTGGACCCTGCCTCTGCGCCTCTTCCCTCTACTGGTTTTAATCTGTATTCTTTTGCTATAGTCAGCTGCAACCATGGGTGAAACAGTTCTGCTGAGTTCTGAGTCCTTCCTGTGAGTCACCGAATCGGAGGGTAGTCTCCGGGACTCCCAAACTGCACCACACCAATCCAGTCTGCTAGGTTTTTTGTCACTGTTGTTGTTGGTATTAATCGTATCTTGTGCCTCTGACCATGTCGCATCATTTCTGCGTCTCAGTTTCTCAATCAGAAAGATGGGTGCAACAACACGGATGCAGCAATGTTGTGAGAATCAAAGACGATAACTACAGAGGCACGTGGTCCCCTGTAATAAAAACTACAGATTGTAACTTAGCTGTTGGCTCTCAGTGAACAATTATTCCTTCCCTTTCCTTCCCCATTTCCTAGGTGACAGCTCTGTCATGTATGGAACGGATGGACTGGGGCAAAGTAAATGGTTCCTAAGGTCGCGTCTACGAATGGCATCTTAAAATGATGGCAGTGATACCAACCTATGTGAGCTCTTAACAGGGTTCCCAGAGCCTTCACAGATATCTGATCAAGCCATTCTCATAACGGTTTCATTATTACTCCCATAGACATATGGGGAAACTGAGGCTCAATGAGATTGAGGGCCTTGCCCTACATCATAGATAGAGGATTAATGGCATCGGACCAGACTGGGCCTTGTGCTTCCCACACGCTAAGTCAGGACTCCAGTCATCACAGCCAGGGGTCTTCACACATTGGGTTCTGGGCCACCATGCTGTTCCTCTTCTCTAAGATGTGACTAGTAACACCCACCACACTGCGACGGTGTTGGGAGAGCAGACATGGATACATTTATCACCTAAGTTCTAGAGTGGAACTGGGAGTCAGAAGAGGTGGGAACCCCACTAGCAACATTTCTAGTGACTTTTGGCAAATTGAAATGGAAAGTAATTAACCTCTGAAGTCTTTTTTCTCATCTGTGAAATGGGGATAATAGTTCCGTAGGGAGTTACTGGGTGGATGAAACAGAACGCACGGTGGGTCACAGTGCCAACCGTAGAACATGCACACGGAAGGCGTCTGCTACTTATTATGTATCGAGTACCTAATTCCTGTGTCCTCACCTCCTCCCCTCTCCATCTCACCTCAGCCCTGCCCACCTTCCACCTCCACACCCCACCCCGGGCTCTTTCTTGGCTTCCTCAGGCACCTCCACCGGCCTCCCAACCCCCTTACCCAAGCACAGCAGTGGTAGAGCCATCAGCACCAGCAGGACCTCAGGGGCAGGAGAGGACCAGGACGTCTCCTGCTGCTGACTCTGACCTTGGATCCCTCCTTCCTGGAGGGCAGGATTCGGGTTGGATGAGCAGTGGGACAGCAGTAAGAGGCATGGGATGGGGGTAGAAATAAGCCTACTGATGGCGAGGGGCTCTTATCTCTTCAGTCACCCTTAAGGTCTCTTCATCTTGCAAATTTAGGAGCCTGATGGACCAGGAGTCTTGCCACGGCTCTGTGAAGCCCCAACACTGCGTCTGCTTTCCTCTCTCTCCTCCAGTCTTCATTCCCAGGTCACCCTTCCTTCAAAGGGCCTCAGACGCAAGGCTCAGGAGCTTGGACTCTCTCCCGAGTCAGTGGGGAAGTCACAGAAATCACGGAAAGGTTTTGGACCACGGGGCACAGGTTTGGGTGTTCTGAAGGTCTCCGTGGGTTTGCACTCGGGAGGAGGCAACAGTCCAGGAGAAAGATGAGGAAGGCCGAGCTGGAACAGTAGCTACGGGGGATGGAAAGAAGGCCATGAATGCTTAGGAGACGTATTTGAGAAATAAACGTTTCTGTGCCTGACGGCATGAATTCCAAACTCCCCTGCCTTGCACTCAAAGCTCTCCATGATTGTGCCCCACATTTTCTCTTTCTCCCCTGCCCCCTGCCCTACACCCCATCACTGTTCCCATGCCAAAGAGAGAAAGGTACCGTTTCTACAGCTACTCTGCACATCCTACCTCTGTGTTACTCAGGCCACCTCACTTTTCATGGCGTCCTTCTGCACCTCTGTCCTCCACCACACTCAAATCCTCCCCTCCTTCCAAGTCCAGGTCAAATGTAACCTTCTCCTGGAAGCTCCTTCCTGGGTCTCCACAACCAGAAAGGAGCTTCCTCTCTCAGACTGGCTTCCACACCCCACCTGTCCATCTGTCCTAGGACAATGTCCCAGGTGGAGGGAGCTGCCTGTCTGATGTCCACCCTCCCCTTCCTCCTTAGTATTTCAAATTTGTTTAGGCGATCAAGCCCCAAGTTTGAAAAAAAAGTCTCTATTTCCCTGCCTCCCTTACATCTAGGGGTGGCCACAGTTCTGGCCAGTGAGCCAAGTAGAAGAAAAATTCTATCGAGTTACTATCAACAAATAAAAGCCTATTCAGCCCCCCTTCCCTTTTTTGGCCATCATAATTGAGCTCTGAAGGCTTTTTTGCTTTTTGCATATAATAATACTAGCTAACAGAATTCCAGGGCCTGGTTTATAAAAACGTAAGTTTTCATAATTAAGTAGATAAGTCTCAGAAAGAGTGGAAGGAAATGTTTCCTTCCCCTGAAGCAATAAATCAAAAGATATTGTTCTGTGTCATAAGACGGTTCAAAGAATCTGCTTTGATACTGTGCAAAACTAGGAATGTTTGTGAGAATATCATTTCTGTTCTCCTCTGCAATATACAGTTTCTATGAATATTCATGATGATTGCTGACTTGTTCTCATCTTTGTTAATACAAACCTGCCTTTGGAAGAACAATTTAAACCAACCGGTCTTATGAGATTCCAAAGATGTTAGAAATTATTCCCTGTCTCATGAAAACGATCTCCAAAATAAAATTCTGACGGGTTGTCTTACTAGATGATTTCTTGCTCTGGTAATAACATCATTGTCACTGACACCTCTGTTTTCCTAAGTTCTATACCTATCTGTAGGACTGTACTCTTCTCTTTTTCCTCATGAACAATGCAAAAATAAGAACCTTTGACTTTGCTAGATTTATTATTAAGCAAATATATTGAGAGACTTGTCTACTTAAAATATCAAATATAAGAGGCTATCAGCTAGAGAGTTTGGGGGGTTCTGCTTTTCTGATACTGGCAACACCACTGCTTCCTCCTTCCTCCCTGGAAGACGGATGTGATTATGGAGGTGGAGCAGCCACCTGGCAATCATGGGATAACCACACAGATGAAACTCAGAGGTTTGAGGACGTTGTTGAGAACAACACAGGGAGCCTGGCTCCCCGACGCCTTGGGGAGCTGCTACAACAACACAGCCTACTGCCGTATTTCTTCTGCATGTGGTTGTCACGCAAGTTGGGGGATTGATGAAGTATCTTTCCAGGAAATCTATTTAAGAGTGAACTCCTTCAGGGAAAGTCCTACATCAAATAGACTTTTGTGTCCTCCACAGTGCTGGGAAGGGCTCTTGTCTGACAAATATTCGCTGAGGGAAAAAAAAACAAACAAGCACAATTTTTTCCTGGTTTGTGAAAAGGATTCACTTGGAATTGAGTTGCCTGAGTTTGAGCCTCAGCTGTTCACCGTGCCTGACACGGCTTTCCGGCTCACCCAGTGGACACTCCCAACCACCCTATCCCTTGCTGGTACCACCAGGGAGGCCAGAAATCATGAAGACTTCCCTAGCTTCCTTTGCAGTAGGGGTGGCTACATGACACAGTTCTGATCCATGCAGTGCAAATGGAAGTCTGCTGGGGTTCTGAAAAGATGTTTAAAGATCGTCTTTATCGAGGTGTAGTTTACATCGAACAAAAGGCATCAATTTCATATGTACAGTTCCTCATATGTTGACAAATGAATGTACGTATTTAATCACCATCTCAGTCAAGATACAGAACACTTCCACCAACCTCTATTTCTTTTGCTCGCATATAGAAATCCAGTTGGTATCTTGACCCTTCTGAACTTACTCGTCAATTCTAGTAGCTTTTTTGCAGATTCTTTGAGATTTTTCTATGTAGAAAATCATGTTACCTATGAATAAGGACAGTCTTATTTCTTCTTTTACAGTCTGTATGTCATTTATTTCTTTTTCTTGCATTATCGCACTGGCGAAGACCTCCTGTGCAGTGCTGAATGTAGGGGTGCCTGTATACGTTCTTGCCTCGTTTCTGATCTTAGATGGGAGCAATCTTTAATCATTAAGCATGATATTAGTTGTAACTTTTTCATAGATACTATAGTTCCAAAAACTGAATCATCTCCAGCTCTGAGTCTATTGACTTATCTCCAGAAAGTGGGTGGGTTTTTGTTTTATTTATTTATTTTTTTACTTTCTGTCTCAATTTTTGATTAAATGACAGATATTAGGTGAAGAAGAAGAGTGAAGGCTGAGGTAAGTAGTATTCATGCTTAGAAAAAGGCATGCCTCTTCTTTGATTGGGCCC